TGACGAAGTATGAAAAATAGTAATTAAAAAAAATTTTTTGGCAATAAAAACAATTTTTCTTTATACATTATTAACGCATATACCTGTGTTATACCAGTTTTTTATTGATTTTGTTTTTTTAAATCGTAAACACTATTTAATGTAAAATGGCAAAACTTGTTTTTCCTTATAAAACTTGAGAAAAGCTCATTATCCGGTATATCCGGCAAAAATATCCGGTACGCCTCTAGTTGTGACAGGTGGTTTAAACGGACTATTTGCTTTGAACCATTAAGTTGTCACTAGTTTAGCAAGTTTTCTGCTTAGTTCTTTTGTAACAAAATTATGTTTTCTACATTCAAACTCACTTTCTTTTCTTTCCTAAAAGGTAGATATAGGTTTAGTAATATTTCACGAATAATTTATATAAAGTGTATATATAATTTTAATATAATCACTTTTGAAGTATTTTAAAAGTTCAAAAAAAAATTAAAAGCTTTAGAATAATTCCCATTTGAATTACTGATCTTTTTGTTCCAATAAAACAAACTCTTGACCTTTTTCAACAAAATTTAGTTGCTAAATTATGTCTACTTTCCCCATTCGATGTCATCACTCATTGTTAGTACTTTTATTAAAAATAAAAAAAATTATTAAAAAGTATTTGTAACTAGAACCTTTTTTATAAAAAAAGTTTCTAGTATATAAACGAATAAAATTTGAAGTCTTGAATGTATAAACTGAATAAAACTCTGCTTCTTTCGTTTCTTCGTTTGGAATATATCTTTCCTTAACAAAAGCAACATGTATTGACCATTTATTAACCTTAACAAAAGCAACATGTATTTAACAAAAGCAACATGTATTTAGACTTAACAAAAGCAACATGTATTTAACAAAAGCAACATGTAGTTGCTTAGCAACATGTATTTAGACCATTTAAAAAATTTGACTTCTCAAAAAATTTTTTTACAATAAACTACTATAAAATGCACAACAAAAAGTCTGAATTGTACCACCAAAACATTTTCAAATTAAAAAAAAAACAAAAAAGAAACTCAAATTAAAATTTAATTTTACATAGGAATACCCGTACGCTGTATTATTTTAATGAAAATGATTTTAGCAATGTACCCTTATGTACAAGTTACAGCTTCTGCTTATGCATTCGATTGTATGAAAGTGAAAGTAAATATTTATTGTTCGTAATTTAACTATTATTATAAAAATAACAATTTTGATTATTTTCAGCCCAAAAACAGTGCAGAATGAAACCAAATAGGCACGGTACGTTTTTTAAACGTTCTTTAGACGTTTTTGTTAGGTTTAAACCGAATAAAAACGTCCAAAGAACTCTTTAAAAACGTACCTACTAGAAACTTTGTTTCTTTTTGTAGTTATATTTTATGTTTCTTTTTATTGGCAATTAAGCTTCCGGTTCTGTTTGAAATAATTTTTAGCTCTGATGATTTTAACTCTGATTTAGAACTGATGTCTGTTAAATACATAATTAGAATAATTAGGTAAATAAATAATAATAAAAATATTTAAAAAAAATGCGCCAAGTAATCAATTTAGCTTCTTTTTTCTTTGTTTTTGTAGATATGAGCCAATGTTTGGCGGGATATTTGCTAATACCTGTAAAACAGTTTCATGGTCGTAAACATGGAATGTAAAACCACAAAGCAGTCCTTTTTAACAACATTTTTGGCAACTTATTTTAAATTTATTATATATTTATAATTTACATTTAGCTTATCCTCGTTTTACCAGTCGTAAATACCTAGCATAACATTCTAAATAATTTTAATAGATAGATATAAAATCATATTACATTATAAACTATAAATAGTGGGTAGAGCGGGGTATATAGGGCCACTTAATAAACAAATGCTAGTTTTTTTTATTTTTTTTAATTTTTTTTTTATTTTGTTATTTAGTGCCCCAAGAAGACCTAACGGTCTTGTCACAGAGCACCGCGGAAGTGCATTTAATCAAGAAGTTCACGCCTCCTTTCTTACCGTGACGCGAAAATATGTCCAGAGCTCATTTCGAACCTGGAACTCTTACTACTAAAGCAAGCTCTTTAAGCACTGCGCCACGGCCGCACAGTTAGTTAATATTTAACACTGTTTTTTATAAATTTCCTAAAATTTATTGATATAAGAAAATGAAAAAACAAAAACAAAAACCTTTAAAAGTAACAACCGAAGTAAAGAAACTCTAGACTAGCAAAACTTTCACATTTTGCAAGTGGGTGGGGCAAAACGGGACAGTTAAAAAGCAGGAGTTATTCGTCAATTGTAAAGCTTTAAAAATGATAAAAAATGAAGGATATCTATTGCCTAAATATGTTCAGACATTAAACTCACAAAAAAGTAATATACCCATTGAAACTACACGCCCATACACCCATACACCACAAAAAAGAAATAACAGCTAAAACAAACTTTTTGTGTGTGTGTATTTTATTATAAAATACCTCCGCATTACTATAACCTATATATTGTTAATTGGTAACTACTACTAAATTTGAAATTAAACAAAAAATTTTACGGATCACATAAATCACACAAAAAATATCCTGAAACAATTCGGCAACATTTTTTTAAGCTGGCTTTTTAGCAATATGCCAATGTATAGCAAACATTCCATACGTATCAGCATTAAACATTCCATACGTATCAGCAGCTTTTCTAATTCTAAGCTTCTTTTTACTCACAGCTACAACTGAATTTCATCCCGTTTTGGATGATTAATCTTTCTTATATAATTTCTTACCTTATTTGTTTACATTAAACACTATTAATAATCGAAGTTAAGTTATAAAAATAAGAATTTCTTTGAATTTATAACTGAAATTGATTTTATAAAAAAATATATATATTTTAGATTAAAAATAAAAATATCAAACTGTTATGGTAGTAATATACCCAATTATCTTTATTGTAAATATTATTTATTTCTTATTTATGTCTTACGTTTTAATCACATAAAGTTGTAATAGAGATTGTAATAATGATTGTAATAAAGAAAAAAAAAAGAGAGAAAAAAAAAAAAAAAAAAATAGAATTATAAAAATAACTTATTGTCCCGATATGCCCCACAAAAGTAGTTTTACTGAAAATGATACTATTCAAAAAGTTCAATTCCAAATATTTTTTCAAAACCAGATTCTAAAAGACGATAAAAATTACTGTCTGAAAAATATAAACTTTTTATAAATAAAGCAAATTTGCAATAGACCAAGATAAATCTTTTGTCGTTGTATCCCTTAAGAAAATACGCAAATTTTGTTTTTTGCAAACTTACTGAAGTATTTCGGTACCTTTAATGCATTTTGGTATTTCTGAAATTAATTTTTTTTTTATAATAATGAATTATACCCAATGAGTACCCACTCAATGGAAATTAGCAAATATTAGTCCGATCTATAAAAAAAAGGGAGATAAATTACTTGCTGAAAACTATAGACCTATTTCACTAACATCTGTTGCCTGTAAAATCTTTGAAAAACTTGTAAAGAAAAAAATTTTAAAGCACATTAACGATAATAAAATGCTCTCTGCAAATCAACATGGCTTCCTTTATCATAAATCATGCGTAACTAACCTAATAGAAACTTTTGATATCATTTCGTCCTCCATAGCATCTCACCAATTTATTGATGTAATCTATCTTGACTTTGCCAAAGCGTTTGACTCTGTACCTCACAACAGACTTTTGTTAAAATTAAGATCTTTCGGAATAAACGGCAAACTCCTACAATGGATTAAATCTTTTTTAGTGGGCAGAAAGCAACGCGTTACAATTAACAATACCAGCTCTGCATGGGTTGATGTTCTCAGTGGTGTTCCTCAAGGTTCTGTTCTCGGCCCGCTCCTCTTCATTCTCTACACAAATGATCTCGCAAAACTCACTGAAACTTCTGAGATATTTGCCGATGATACTAAACTTTTTTCTAAAACCTTATCGCAATCTAATTTTGTTGATCTGCAGGATCGTCTACGCTTGGTATACGAGTGGTCAAACACTTGGTTACTTAAGCTAAACACTTCAAAATGCTGCGTCATTCATTACGGTCGAAACAACCCCCATTACAATTACTTTCTTCAAAATAACCAAGGAATCAACCAATCTCTAAGAAGCTCTACTAAAGAACGTGATTTAGGAGTCATTTTTACATCTAACCTCAAGTGGAGCGCTCATATTCAAACAGTTGTCTCTAAGTCCTTACAAATTCTCGGTATGCTGAAAAAGACATTCACTTTCATTGATGAAAAAATGGCTCTCAAATTATATAAAGTATTTATAAGACCACATCTTGAATATGGAGTGTCCATTTGGGCTCCTTTTTTAAAAGCTGATATGGCTTTGGTTGAATCTGTTCAACGCAAAGCCACAAAATGGGCTTACAGCTTGAGGCATCTTCAATACTGCGAAAGGCTAAAAAGATTAATCCTACCATCTCTTGAGTTTCGACGCCTTCGATGCGATTTAATCCAAATTTTTAAATTAATACATCGTTTTGATATAGTTAATGATAAATATCTACCAAAATATATTAACTCCGTGTCTCGTGGTCACCATTCTAAAATAAGGCGTGAGTATGTTCTAAACTGTCTTCCAAGATATAATCATTTGTATAATAGATCAGCAAAATACTGGAACAATCTACCAGAGCAAATAACTTTGTACTCCACTGTACTTTCTTTCAAAAATAGACTAGACTCCTGGTTGTGGAAAAAGTTTGGAACAAATATTTATAAAACTGGTTGTTTATAGTGGGGTGTTTCCCCTGCTCGCTGTATGTGTACATTCTATGTAAATTTACGGCTACAACTATAATAATAATAATAATAATACTAATTTAAAATGTTTTACCAAAATTTTTTTAGCTGAGATAAGGCTTCAGGCATAACTGTCCCATTATGCCCCGCTCTACCCTATAAAGTTTATTTTAATCTTTGTTATAAGTATATAGTTAATAAAATATTATGATGTTATGATAAAAACCTTACCATTATATAAAGTTGATTTTGGACAAGATTGAATTTGTAATCGAGTTTTAGTAAGTTCCAGAGGACATATGACAACTGTCTGTATTGCCCCGGTTATCATTCCTGCGAGAAAAACATTTTTTGTCAAATGACGATCACCAATATTGTCGCCAGCCAAAAAACGAATGCTATAACCATAGGAACTAAACACAACAGCATTCCAGAATGCTGTTCCAATTAGAGGTGACGACATACCTTTGAACAATCCAGAAAACTAAATTTAAAAATAAAATCTTATAGAAGAAAAACAATTACATTAAAAGTTATATACATATATTTATGTGTGTGCGTGTTTTCAATGCGCGAGCAGCTAAATATTTTTGATAACTTGTGTTTTTAAACTGTGAGGGCTGTCTATAACGCGATGCTTGCAGTCCAAACAACTTTCGTGTTTTATAATTTATTTTATTTTTAATTATTTTATTATATTTAAAAAAAATTGTAATTGTTAAAACAATAAATATTACCACACAGCAAGCATTTTATAGCGAAATTACAATGAAGTTATAGAGGCATTTTGAACGGTCCACTGTGGTTTTGCTTACCGGTTATTTAATGCACCATTCGTGGCAGTCGCCAAATATATATATATATATATATATATATATATATATATATATATATATATATATATATATATATATATATATATATATATATATATATACATATATATATATATATATATATATATATATATATATATATATGTATATATATATATATATATATATATATATATATATATATATATATATACACATATATATATATATATATATATATATATATATATATATATATATATATATATATATATATATATATATATATATATATATATATATATATATATATAAAATGCATACCATAGCTGTCAGCTTGGTCTATGCGGAGGAGGAGGTAGTCTAGTAAAAGTGGTGCTGATGTTTCTAAGAACCAAGTTTCAGTTTTCAAATATTACATAAATGGTGTTGGAGAAAACAAGTGCAGATAGTTTTGCTAGTTTACCTAAATTCAGGGACGAGGCTTTTGTATAGTAACAGTTTAATATAGAAAGAGGTTTACTACTGTTAATTTATTATTAGTGTTACTTATTGTCTAAGGGATTTTGTTGATGGAGTTATTATAGCAGTACCTTTGGCGGAACTAATTAGTACACTATTGTTGCTTATATTTTTTGAGAGGTTGCTGTCAATTGTACTGCTGTAGTAAAATCTTTGGCAGAACTAATTAATCTCGTTATTGGTGTAGATCTTGTTGATGCGGGGTTGTCTTGTTAATTTGAGGTTGTGGGGTTTATCCATCGAACAATATATTATAAAGATATATTGTGTTTTTTTTTATTTAAAGAGGGTTACCACTTTTAATAACAGTGAATTACCTTTTTTATTCTTTTATACTTTTTAACAAAATAAAACTGGAGGTATTAATTGAGTTATTAACTAGTTTATATATATATATATATATATATATATATATATATATATATATATATATATATATATATATATATATATATATATATATATATATATATATATGTATATATATATATATATATATATGTATATATATATATATATATATATATATATATATATATATATATATATATATATACCCATAAAGGTCTAAAAACAAAATAACCATCTAAAACAACTTAAATACCCAAGAACCACCTGAATCCACCGCTTTTGAAACATAAACATTCTAAATACCAGTCAATTTTAACGCACTCAAAGTCAAATATATGCAATAAAAAAAAAACTTAACTTTTTGGCAAATTCTCCATGTTCCATGCTCCAACGGCGCCAAAAAGGAAGAGCTAATAACTAGAATTGAAATTGAATCAATAGAAAAAAAAAGATTTACTATTTTTTGTTGAGTCACAGTTCAATAAAACATTATGCACCAAATTAGCAGGCTATCAAGTTCACCAAAAAGATAGAGATGGAAGAGGAGGTGGCGTGGTAATACACATAAAAGATAAGTTTCCAGCTATGGAAACAACTATTTAACAACTTAACTTAGAAAGTATTGAACAAGTATGGCGCATTATAAATCTAGAATATTAATCTACCCTTGTAAAATATATTTACCTACCACTCGACAATAACGATATTTTTCTAGAACAAATGAAGTAGCCAAAAAAAATTTAATATCTGTTCAGTAATGTCAGTCTATGATTTTAATTTCAGCCATACTACCTACGATAAACTTGACATTGGTAACGGAGGAACTACCACAGCCTACGTAGAGGAAGAACAACAAACTGACTTAAAATTTCAGAAATATTCAACTGAAAGTCATCTAACTCAAGTGGTGACCTTATCAACATATTGTAACTCTAGAAACAAGAATTCAAAGAGCACACTTGACGTAGTTATAAAGGATGACCCAGACTGAATTGAGGATCTAGAAAAGGGTGACTTGTTCAGCTATACACCTGCAGATTAATCTTTCTGTTGTGTAATTTGATCATTCACAGTGGAGTCTACTCTACTCCATATATCTGGAGTAGAGCAGACTGTAAAACTACTTCAACACAACTGTAAAACTATTTCAACACAACTGTAAAACTATTTCAACACAACTGTAAAACTATTTCAACACAACTGCAAAACTATTTCAACACAATTGCAAAACTATTTCAACACAATTGCAAAACTATTTCAACACAACTGCAAAACTATTTCAACACAATTGCAAAACTATTTCAACACAATTGCAAAACTATTTCAACCCAAATACTACTAGAAAAACATATTCAAAAACCTTTCGGTGAATGATAACTACTCAGTCTTTATCAACAACAAGTTAGTTGATTTGCACATTCAATCTACTACAAAACTATTTATTGAAAAGAAAGAACCGTGGAACACGAGGTTAAGGAGGAAAAATAAAAGAATACTCTAGAGCAAATATCTTAAAGCAGACAACAATTCTCGCAAAGCAATCAAAAAAGAACATTGAATCGTATGTAAAAACGTGACCAAAGTAGTCCAAAAAGCAACCATAGAATATGAAAAAGAAATTGCTAAACAATTTAAATAACACCCTAAACTCTTACATGAACAGGTAAGATATAAGCAAATGACAAAAGAGTCGATAAGATCTCTAGAAAATAATAAAAGTAAAATTACAACAAATGGAGAAGAGATTGCCAACATAATAAATGAGTATTTTCATTTGGTATTTATCACAGATACGGAAGAACAAATGCCCAAATTCAAAAATCAAAAGGAAATCGAGTGCAAAATGAATGAACTATTAATAAAACAATCAGATGTCCAAGGAAAGATCGAAAACCTGGTCGAATCAAAATCCAAAGGTTACAAAAGAGTGCACCCCCGGGTATAAAAAACTGTTTCTTTGCTTTTACTGTGACACTCACGACTATATTCCAATCTTTTGCTGAAAGTCTTTTGCTGAAAGTCAAATACCAGAATTATGGAGAAAGTTAAATCATCACACTGATTTTTAAAAAAGGGAGATGGAATTATCGGCCAGTATTTCACACATTTATCTCTTGCAAACTGATGGAGAGTTTCGTTCGTCATATAATAATGAAGCATTGCATCAAAAATAACTTAATCACCAAAGATCATCACGGTTTTCTTCCAAAGCGAAGATTCCGAAGAGACATATAAGCAAACGCAATTTACCTAGGTTATGCCATAGGCGTAATTTAAACTGATTTTGCAAAGACGTTTGACAAAGTATCCCACAAACGGGCTTAAAGCATATATAAAGTACATGTAGAACTCAACTCATGCGATAGTTAATTGGCTGGCGAACCAACAACAGAGAGTAACAATCGGTCACCATAAATCAGATTGAAAGAAAGTCACAAGTGATGTTCCACAAGGTTCAGTGTCTTGAATCTATTGTTTATACTTTATATAAACAATCTACCGGACAATATACCAAATCAAATTAAGATATATACTGACGACAGCAAGATTTTAGGCGTAATAAAGAGTGAGGACCCTTTAGAGATACAAAATGACATAAATAAAGTAGTACTTTGGTCTAAAAAATGGTACATAGAGTTGAACGTAGAAAAATGCAAAGTGATGCATGTTGGACACATAATTAACAATCCATCCATAACTATCTTATGCTTGATCAATTAGGAAACAGAAAAATACTTGAAAGTACCAAAATGAAAGTAATCTAGGTAGAGCCAATTGCGAGTCAAAAAATCTTTTAGAGGCAAAGGCTTTTTTTTGTGGAAAGTCTTCTACACAGAAGATGTCAGACCACATCTTGAGTTTGCAATTCAAGCCTCATTAATTGGTCTCCATATCTACAACAAGATATATGTACGCTAGAGTATATTCAGCAAAGAGCAACAAAAATAATCACAGAAATCATATGATAAGTATCATAGCATATCATATCATAGCATAAATCATATGAGGAGAGGCTTCTTATTCTTGAACTTACAATCCTTGAAGAAAATAGAAATTGAGGTCATTTGATTCAGCAATTTAAAATTGCTCACGGTATCAAAAAAATATAATTTGCCCAACCACAGGTGTATGCGCCATCAATATTGAATTATTGCCTACAAGGGCACAATTGACGATTAAACTAAGCAAGTTGTCAAAAATTGCAAATAGAGAAAGCATTTCTTCAGTAACTGCGTGGTAAATGCATGGAGCAAACTTCCGTCATATACAACCTACGCAATTCGGTAAATGTTTTCAAAAATCACATTGGGAAAAGAAAAAATAATAGACTCAGCGCGTGTCTTTAATCTGTCAGCATAGTAGTACCTGGTGTTGCACTACTTCATTAGAAATTGGTAAATTTTTTATTCTATTAAATATATAATATATACTTCTAATTTCTGAATAAACAAATTCAAATTCAACAATATATATATATATATATATATATATATATATATATATATATATATATATATATATATATATATATATATATATATATATATCGTAGTTGTTTCAAAGGCAAGGCAAAAAAATTAAGGTCACCTTAATTTTTATTTTTATTTTCAAATAGTAAATATTAGCTTGATTTTTATTTACAGAAAAAGAACATGTATTATAAATTCAGAAATAAATTAACAGAATTATCAAAAGTTTATGAAAAAATAAGATTTTTGATCACAAAAAGGAATTTTATTACTCGGTGGCATATGAAAAAAAATTTTAATATCCAAATAAACTGTTTCCAGATTCA